CAGGGATTTATCTATTATTAGTGGTTTTACTTTTTTAATAGGTCTAGCCTGGGCACTCAGAGTTAAATTTGCCTTATATAGTCTCTCTTCCACAAGGCTAAAAACTTCAGGGGGAAAAAAAATGAAGTCCTAAGCTCTGTCAGTATGGCAACTATAGACCATGTGTCCTTTTCTTCCCAGGAGGAAAAATTGGCACATACTCATCAATTAACTGGTTTTCATTTTGGCTTTTTTTTGTTTTGGATCACTAAGCCCCAGCAACTTGTGTGCACAAAGATCAATTTAATTTTATAAGCATTGCATATTTATTCCTTAGCACTAATTGGCTGTTGATGAGAATCTGATCGGTTTGGTCGGTCTGGTTGTGGCTTTGCAGTTAGGGGTATGGTGTCACTGTGTCTGTGCTGTTCAGTTTATGCAGTGGGATAATGCTCTCTGCTTTGGCTTATTTTTAACCCTGGCAGCTTCTAATGAGTGTCAAATAAGCAGCTTCTAATAAGCTGCTTAGAAACTGTTTCTAATAAGTGTCTCTGCTTTGCATTTCCCATCCCTAAAGAATTACACACTAGTCTCTCCCTCTTTTTCTTAAAAGGTTCTCAAGCTGCCCATATGTATAGCCATAACTTGCCATTCTGGAGTTAGCAGTAAACCAAGGTATCAACACTTTCAGAAGGTTTTCTTTTTTTTGCTGAAAACAGAATTCAAACATTTTTGTCATCTCAGACTCTCTGCAAATGCAGCTTGTTCTCTCATAGACATTTTAAACTGTTATTTTATGCAGTGGGTTGGTGTGTTTTTTTTTAATAGCCTTTCAGCTATCACTTTAAAAGTGCTTCAGAAGAGTGGCAGTGGTAACTGGTATTTTTTTTCCCTTGTCAAATGCAAATCTCTCACCTCCCAAGTGTGAACATACAAAGATCTCTTACTGGCTTTTTTATTCTCCCCCAATAACAAAATTAGGCCACAGTTAGCTAAGCAATGACCTGATTAGTGCTGGATCAACATGTTATCAACTCAAGGTTGTCACTACAAAGTAAGTGTGGTGAAGTCTGCCTGTTCCAACTCAAATGAAAGCAGTCTCTCGACGTAGAGCAGTGCTGAAGTCAGCAGTTTTTGCAAAGTGGGCCTAAATGCAAATTGAAGGATCTCTTCTGTGTATATATGTGACTACCAGTGCCAACCTAATTCTTTATAATCAAATACTTTTTGTTGTATCTTTACTCAGGAGGATATGAGAAAAAACAGTTCTAAGTGATTTTTGTGTTCTTTGGCTTTCCTTATCTATAAAAGATTTGGCTTTGTGAGGTATATTTAATGTTTTCTCTTAAGTAGGCCACCTGAGAGATCCCATGGAGTAATTCACTTTGCTGAGTTAGCAGATGAGGCCATTGGACAGAGTCAGAAAAGATACTGCCAACTGTGAAGTGAATGAATCGATACCAGTGCAAGCGGATCAGTTTGCTTCTTCGATACAACAAGCAAAGCAGTAGCACAGATGAAATATCTGACATACAGATTTAAAAAAACACAAATATAAACACACACACACACACACACACATTGGGTTGGCTTTTATTGGAAAGCCTAGATGCAATCTATAGTTATCAATTTGTGGAAAATTCAGGACACATATAAAGTTAAGAAGGCAAATTAAAAGAACAATACAAATCAGACGAAATATACATCTCAAAATATCAGGATAGCATTTTGACTGGCATTGTCTAAAATACTTAGAATCTCCTTTCTTTTATTTTATCTTTTTTTTTCTTTTTGGTAATATGCTTCTTTAATTATGCATATTTTTTTCTTTAAAAAGATCTTTTGTTTATATATTCCCCAAGGTCACTATTTCCTGCAGGAGCATGTCCAGATCACAAGTCTTTTTTAGCAAGAAATAGGCTCATTATACATACTAACAAGGCCACTAATTGGCTTGATTTGACTGTATCTAAAATGATCACCAACAGATACTATAATTTGCTGTTTATTGGTGCCAGAACAAAGGAGAAGGAACTGGTACGCGTCAAGTAGAAGATATATTTCAATGTTGACATGTTATACAAGCTTTTCATATTCAAACAGAACAGAAACATTTGACATAATTTAGAATATGAGCCTATTTCAACAGAGAGCACTTACAGCATGCTAAATACAGTGCTGTGGAAGAGCCACCCAACAGAACTGCAAACACCTAGCATTTTACATCTTTAAAAGAATACCTAGATCAATGATACGCCTCTGGGGTCTGACATACCGTCCTCTCTAAATTTAGGGCCCTCAAGACTTCAAGGGTAAAAATACTAACAACTAATCTGTGCTTTCATTCTAATAGATGATTAGCATTCATTATATGTGTAATTAGTTCTGTATGCTCTACCAAATACACACATACAGTAATAGCACTGATACTGTAGATTCGGTAGCGACTTAGCTGGGAGAAATTCAAATCTGTTTATCAAACAATCCTAATGTGCAATTTAGAGTATGTAATACCATCGACTCTCAGAATACAAAGCAGTTAGAAAACTATTTTTATTACATCCACTTGAACCATTCATAGTTAAGACACGTTCACTTACTATGTTCTGTCATTATAATACATGGATAGAAATACTGTGTATATTTCAATGAACATCAAAACCCCCCCAATTTTGTCTCATCTTAAAAATATTTATTTTTGTGGCTGAATTTAGTGCTCATGAGACTAAAGCTCTAAGAATGGTTTCAGCCAAGACGTAGAACAGATGCCATAGATGCCACCACAGGCTTCCTATAAGGAACCAGCTGCACACTTCAGTTCTGTCCTGCAGCAAATATACTGGGCCTTGGAGCAGAGCATGCCAAATCTATGCAGTGGTGTGGAAACGCAGACTAGGCACTAGAACTGGACCTTCCCCTCCATCCCTAGGTTCAGTGTTCACAGTAATGGGATTTGATCTGCCAGCTGAAGGCTAGGAGATGAACCTACTGAACAGCCTGCCTGCCTTAAGAGCAATTCTGTAGCATCAGGTCAGAGGTACACTTCTTCTATCTGGAGTTATTAACATCTAAAGGAGTTGTATTATACAGAAGACAAAGTTGACATAACTGGATGAAACTACATCATTTCTTCTTCTTCTACATACAATTTGCCAAGCACCTGAGACACTATTCTCTCCATTGTGAAACAAAGCTTCTAAAAAAACAACAGAAACCCCACCTGGTATGAATAAATGTCCATTTATTACATTAGGGCTGGAAAAAGACAAGGAAAACCCAACCTATTAAAGTCTTCCATCATAATAAACGAGACTTATTTGGTTACTGTGCCTTCTAACAATGACTGATGAAGTGACACTGGCCTGGGTGACAGGAGAGGTACGGGAGGGGAGGGAGCTGCGGTCTGATTCAGCCAGCCACTTTGGAGTGTCCCAACCTATCAGCAGAGTGATAGATGCACAGCTTTAAACCTAATACAAAAATATTAACACTTTTGGACATTAGTCATCACTGTTATATCTCTACAATATAATCCTTTATACTGTACAGCTATAACATAAAAGGTGCAATTCCTTTTTCTTTAAAAAAATCACACACAGCACATGTTTTTATCGTTTTATTTTTAAGTATAAACTTTTTTAAACACTTTACATAAATTAACTCCTCTGAGACTAATATCTGATGTACAGTAAATTGTAATTCATATAAAAATCCATAAACAACTTGTCTCACATAATTTACAAAAAAATCAGGGTTTCCTTTGCTTATCTGCAACAAGGATTCTACTTGCCATTTTCCCCCCAAGGCAAACCATGTTAGCATTGTAAAATCCATTATTAAATTCCCATGGTAGCATAAGTCAGTTGTGCCAATGTCCTTTTAGAAAGCAGCACAGTTTAAAGCAGTTGGGTTGTCTATAAACAGTAATTTTTGCCCCACGTTTTAAAATTAACAGATATATACCACATCCTATGCAGTGAGAAAGAGAGAGAAAAAGAGAGAGAGAAAGAGAGAGACTACTTCTCATAAGCAAAGGTCAACAATTCAGTAATATTTGGAAACACTGTAAGGGTCTGTATCTTAATTAAATACAGTGCCTCAAAGGAACAGACAGCCTGTTGCAAAAATCTGTAGGCCTTTTTATTTTAATTTTTTTCTTCTTTTTTTTAATACTTTTCAGTCCAACTTGAGTGCAGCGATATGCATATGTAAACATATTCTTTAAAGCAGATCACCTTTAAGGTCATTGAGAAAAAAAAAAGTTTTGTCATTAGCAGTATCATTCTTCTGGAAGGCGCTCTTGTTGTTACAGAGTCTGTTTGGATTGTGCTACAGAAAAAATCTGAGCAAAGATGTAAGCTTAGGCTCAAGTAGTAATGCAGCAAAACAGTTTGGTCTCCTTTTTAGAAGACACTGGTACACAGTCTCTTTGGCAGCCTGAGCTAAGCCAGTGTGTTACCTCTTTCCTATCTCACTTTGTCTGAGGAACTGTATATTGTTAGCGCTGTCTGCTAATTCTGGATATTGCTCCACAGAGAGTACATAGTACCCATCATATCCTTGTACCTTTCCAGCACTTAGCAACTGCCTCTTTTCTCCTTCTGTCCACAACCTGGCGCCTTCCTCTCCATCTCTTACTCTCTGTTGTTCTCTGGCCCAGGCACTGGAAAGAGCTCTTTGCCTGGCTTGCTCCAGTATTCGGGCCTTCTCCTCATCAAGTGTCATGCCATAGCGGACATGAAGCGCTAAAGCACCATATTGCATTTCAACATCAGCAAACCTACGAGTCCTGCCGTTCACCACGGTGGTAGACTGGGAAACAGTGACATTGATGCCATTCTCCAGGGCTTTACGCCCACTTGTCAGCCTCAGTGTCCCAAGGTCAGTCTCAGGGGAGGTGGTCTTGATAAAATAGTGCGTGTCCTTTCCCTCTACAGTGAAATGCAAGTTTTCTAGGTAGTAAGCATTGTTCAGAACAGCTGCCACTTTTATGCAGTCCTCATTTGCAATGTTAAGCACATTTGTTTGCACTTTGCCTTGATTGACAGCGAGCATCACTCCTTTCCCAATCAGAGACTTCACAGTGGCAAACCAGAGCCATGACTTTTCTCCACTGGATTTCCGTCTGCTGACCTGCACTTCTGCCATCTTTCCCAGGGAAAGGAAAGCCTTAGCTTGTCTCGCCACTTGTTGTTGCACTCCAGAAATTGGCTGTAAACAAGAACAGACAGAAGTTTTACCAGCCATCTGTAGCCCCCTAAATGCCAAACAGCCAGGCTTGCTTGGTGTGCTGCCCGTGGACGACAACAGGATATGCCACAACCGACAGTGCCAAGGAGTTAATTAGATCTACATACTGCTTGTTCTGCTGAGTTACAAGACTATTTTGTTAATGTTCAGTGCTTTTACTCTTTTTCTCCCTGAGAGCCTTCACAAAAATCAGATTTAACTGCAGAGGCTACTTACAGAGCTGCACAGGACAGACTTGAAATGCCAATACTTTATATGGGTAAGAGCTATCTTACTATGGTGTCATCTTGTTCTGTAAGCTTGTTCAAATATGATTCCTATCTACCATGAGTCCATCCAAACTGAGATTTTTGCAGGTCATGAAGCTGTACTTCAGAACAGGAACAAACCTTTCTTTATGCTGAGTCAGGAGATGAGTCTCTCAGGTAGCTTCAGTCTGAGCTCAGACTGCAGGGAGGCTCTCATCAGCCCTCAAGCTGCTGAAGGAAGGAGGGGAATCAAACTGTAATGATAGTCTTTACAGTAAAAGAGAGGGAAGCAAATGTGGAATACTGGGGACTGATGCCTTTTCTTGCAGATACTTGCAGAAACTGAAAAAAGGGGCAGTGTGAAAAGGCTGTGGCAAATGCAGCTGCATGAGCTTCCATTTCACTAGAAGTATCAGCCTGCTGCGTAAGAGAGCTTAGTTGTCTCCCCAACGACTTCAGATGGGTGCAGTCCAGAATACAGCAGAGTGTTTTGTTGACAGCTAGCAAACACTAGGGGCAATGAATGAAAAGAACCAATGGGCCAGTCTAATAGAAGAGCTAGGATAGGAGAATCTGTCAAAGAAGAATTACATGTAGCCTAGTATGCCAGATGCACTCCTGGTAAAGAGAGGATGGCTGGGGAACAGGACCTGCTGCCATAACTGCCGTGGCTAGCCAGAACAGCT